AGGCTGAGGGGAGCCCTCATCGCTGCCTACAACTGCCTGAGAGGAGGGGGGAGCCGGGGGGGGCGGGCTCTGCTCCCAGGGAAGGGGCGAGGGGACGAGGGGCAGCGGCCTCAAGTTGTGCCAGGGCAGGGTGAGGTTGGCCATGGGGAACAATTCCTTCCCCAAAGGGCTGCCAGGCACTGGAATGGGCTGCCCAGGGAAGGGGTCGAGTCCCCACCCCGGGGGGATTTAACAGCCGGGCAGACGAGGTGCTTAGGGACAGGGTTTGGGGGTGGGATGGCAGGGGTAGGGGAGCGGTTGGGCTGGGGGAGCTTAAAGGGCTTCCCCAACCTGAACGATTCTATTCTACTATTTCAGCAAATCGCCCCCATCCTGGTGCATGGTTCCCCCCACCATCAATGCTGCCCTTGTCCCACCCCAGCTCCATACCCTGGGCATGGCCGCTGAGATGACAGAAACCCCCAGCCCAACCCTGCCGAAGTGCAAACCCAGGCCGGTCGCCAACCCGGGGCTTTTGTCTGCCAAGACACACAAAACCTCCCTGTCTCACGCGGGAGGAATTGCATCATTAATTACACAAATGAGGTCCTTGTGCTTGGCACGGCCACTCCAGCAGCCGGCGATGCTCCGGGACGCTCCCTCTCCATTTGGATCAATATTTCTGTTTATTGATGGAGCATCCACCCCCTCTGCCTTGGTGCTCTAAGCACATCAATACTGGTATTTATGGGTATGAGGCTCAAAATCCTGGATGGGAATGGAGCTCACTGCTCCCTGCCCTGCTGTAGGGTGGACATGATGAGGGCAAACATTGATGGGAGATGCCCCAGCCCCATCAGCTGAGGAATTCTTCAGAGCTTCTCCTCGCAGCCCTTAATTCGGGCACTTTGGGTTTTTTTTTTCTTTTTTTATCCAAAAAAAAAGGCTGTTTCTTAACCAAAAAGAACATCCATCACCTGCAGCTGCTTGAGCCACAAAGTTCCCCCCTGCCAAACTCGGATCAGGCAAGCAGTGGAGGGGCTGCTCCATGCCCGCACGGGGGATGGGGACACGGGGTGGGGGACAGGACGCTGCCCAGGGATGCCAAGAGAAGCGTGGCCAGCAGATTGAGGGAGGTTCTCCTCCCCCTCTACTCTGCCATGGTGAGACTCCACCTGGAGCACTGGGTCCAGTTCTGGGCTCCCCAGTTCAAGAAAGATGAGGAACTCCTGGAGAGAGTCCAGAGGAGGGCAACAAGGATGATGAGGGGACTGGAGGAAGAAATTCTTTACACTTCTTCACCACTGAGGGTGGTGAAACCCTGGCAGGGGTTGCCCAGAGAGGGGGTGGAGGCCCCATCCCTGGGAACATTCCAGGCCAGGTTGGACGGGGCTGTGAGCAACCTGGTCTGGTTAGCGGTGTCCCTGCTCCTGCAGGGGGGTTGGGCTGGGTGACCTCTAGGGGTCCCTTCCCACCCAAAACGTTCCGTGATTCTATGATAGGCTGAGGGAGCTGGGCTTGTTCAGCCTGGAGAAGAGAAGACTGAGAGGGGATCTCATCAACACATACAAATATCTCAAGGGTGGG